TTGTTCAAGTAAGGTAATGATCAAGTCTCAGAAATAGAATCTTATATTTTGGTTTCCTAATTCTTAGTTTCCCGATGTGGGATAGTTTGCAATTTTTGTTGTTGAACTGAGACTATTAGACTAGCGCAAATGGAAGCAATAAGAGTTCAAAAAAAAATTGAAATGAAAAAGTACACTAATTTATTTTCTTTAGCATCATGTTTCAACTGGAATAATAATGGAGCTTTTCAATGATAAATGGAAGCTTGAGCTTTCCACAGCAAAAACAGAGGGAAATATAAAGAAGAATGTAGGGAGAAACTATTTTTAGAATTTCATACTCAAAATCTCATAATCTGCCAAAAACTTTGTGGTCAAGAGATATAATTGTGACTCTCCCAAATGGGAGGTCACAGGTTCAGGTTTGAACTTCAATGGGGGCAGTGACTCGTGTAGATATCAGTGTGGAGAGATGTCGAGAAAAGAAAAAAGGCACCACACTAGACATCCAAGATTACACACACTCAATTGAACAATCGCACTTAATACATAAAAACAACAAAGTAACCGGAGTGATGACATGCACTTGATTGATTTTGTTAACCATAGTTTTTTCTACTCCCTTACATTTCTGAAAGAAAACCTTTGAAATAATTCCATCAATCTTCTTTTTTTAATATGATCTCCATTCGTTGGACATCAAAAGTGGCACAAAGTGTAACACCCCGTGTTACGACCTCTAACCCAAACTAATTATTTAATCACTTACCCTAAAAAGAGAATTACAATCCATTAATTAACTAAGAAGGGTCCACCATAGTCCATGGACCCTTACCCTAAAACCAACCCCTTAGTCCTGTAAGGAATAGAATTAGCAAGCCCATACCATTTAGATCCTAATTAGGACTCTTAGATATATAAATAGGGGCATAGGAGGCACCTAGAATCCACACCACAATAACTTTCACCACACAAGAATTCCCAAGAACTCCCATAAGAGAAATCAAGAAAGAAGAAATCTTAAAGAAAGACCCTTCATAGCCAAGGAATTTAATTAAGGCTAAGAGGTAGCCCATGTCTCAACAAAACCTATTTTCTTTGCTATAATCTTCTTCTTTGGCTCCTTCTATATGCTTGTGTCTTGATGAAATCTTCTATCATAATTATGATATGATCTTGATGATTGATAAGATGATTTTATGTGTGATCTTGATGATCTTGATGGTGATAAGAGGATCTTGATGATTGTGTGATTTTCTTGATAAGTCTTGATGTTTCTTGATATTAAAGAGGAACTATGATCTTGATGATTTAAATATGATTAGAGCCCTAGGTTGAATCGTGAATTTCGTATTGGGATATTCTTGGTATATTTGGGTGGGAATTCACATGTTCGGGTGTTGATTATGTTTAGAAGTCATAATAGGATGTGTTCTATGTGATTCTTGCTTTTGATCCGTTAATTGTCTACGTGGTGTCGTCATTTGCGTTTAAAAGTATATAAGCATGGTTTCGAGTTCCACGGAGGATCCCGGGACTTATATTTTGGAAAAAGAGTCAGTGGGGGTAGGAGGACCCGCCACCTACCCGCTGCCAGTTTAACGCGACCGGCAGAGGGCAGCCCGCGGGCAGACGACTACCCGCCGGGCACCCGCTGCCCGGAGGTTCATCGCCAGCAGGCAGCCGGCAGGTGGCCCTCCACCCGCTGGATTATTCCCGCCTTGGGACTTTGGCTTCCCCGTTTGATGTTCCCCATTCCCCCATGGTGTCCCAACGGATTCCGTTTGTCGTGCATGAGTCTAGTTTGATAGTTCGGGTATCGTTGGTAGGATAAAAGAGTCTCGTATGTTGCATGCTAGTTGAATCGGTAACCCGTTGGCCTAGGAGGAAGATGTATGAACCTCTTAGGACTATTCTTAGTATGTTGATAATCACGCATAAGTTTTATTTATATGTTTTCCCCTTTCCCAATGTGTTAATGTGAGTTGCATGTGTTTACTATGTGTTATGTGTGCATGATACCCCAATTTGGCTGCGATCAAATTGGTCATACATGAGCTGCGGTTCATTATCTTTGCTGCGGTCAAATTGGTTACTCATTAGCTGCGGTTCATTATCCTGGCTGCGTTCAGTGACTCACTTCTAGGGCTGCGGTCCACCCCATGGGCCTCGTGTGCTGTGGTCCACCGACTGGACGCGTCAGGCGGTGTGTAGGGCCACTAGCCCGAGGAAAGCCATAGTCCAGCGAATGAGTTGTCAGGCGGTGTATAGGGCTATGGTCGACTGCAATCCACCAAGTGTATGTGCCAGCGGTGTGTAGGGTCGTAGTCCCCAAAGATCATAGTCCACTGAATGAGTCCCTCAGACGGTGTGTAGGAATACGATCAGCTATGACCCACCGACTGAGCCCGTCAAGCGGTGTGTAGGGTCGCAGTCCCCAAAAGAGGATCACAGTCCACCGACTGAACGCGTCAGCGGTGTGTAGGGCTGTGATCCGCTGTTGAAACTATCGACGGTCTATACAATTGGCTGCGGTCAATTCCTTCATGTTGCGGTATGAGGTAGGGTGCTGCGGGGCCGTGTTAGCACTATATGCACTAACCCTCATGTTTGGGGCATGAGATTGGTCCTGTGGCGCCACCAAAGTGTGCTTGTGTGACAAGGATATTGATTGAATGATGATGTGAATGATTTGAAAGAGAACTGTTACCTTAGATACGTGTTTTTATGATGTTCTCTCTATATAATTGATTATCACTGTTGAATGTGTTTATCCCTGATTGTCGAGCCTAATCCTGGTTTTAAAGCTAGAGTCACCTAAGTATATGTCTTCGTGCTTCAAAATGGTTTTACTATATCTATAGACATATACTTACCTATATTGTATTTTAACGCGTTAGAGTGGGTTACCAACATCATTTGCTGAACAGATATATTTGGCTTTCAGGCACAGATGATTAGCCTCCGGAGCGCGCTAGAAGAACTTTGATTAGAAGTTAGTCTTTCCTTTCGGCCTGCGTGCCTTGATGATGTAACGACAATATTTGAGGATAGTAGTTAGAATAGTCTATGCATCTGAGCTCTCCAGCTCAGATGTAGCATAGCACCCCGACTCTATGTTTAGAATGCTTCAGTTAATATCTATTTAATAGAATTGCTTTCATATTATAAGATCAAAAAGTTTTAAAAATTCCGGGGTGTTACACAAAGATTCCTCCTAGACATGTAGCAAACCTAATGCAACACTGATGTAGATACTAGATATCAGATGTCACACCCCACTTCTAAGACATGACCCGGCCGTATCATTACGTGAAGACCTGTAACAATACGAAGCCTAACCATACATACCTCTCGGAATCTTCATAATAGCACTTGAATATACGATAATTCCACGACCCAAAATGGGAAAATATAATCAACTAGATCTTCCCAAAAACTCATCAAATCCACTATTAAATATTTACAATATAATCAAGAGTAGTATGTCCAAAATGCATCACATGCACCAAAACCAAGCACAATGGTTTACCAAAAATACAAAGGGTCAAAGAGAATATCTAAATAAACAAAAATCCATGATAAGCCCCAATACTAGGACTAAGTCTCCTAGTTTCAAAAGTCAACTTCGAGACCCCACAACTTGTGCTCGTATTATTCACATGTCCTTAACAACTCTAAAACATGAGGAAAATATAAATAATGAACTAATGCACAGTAAGTGGTAATCTTCTCAACCCCGGATCAAGTAGTCTAAATAGAATACCATAAGCTTTAGAGTAATAAATAAATGTAAATCACGATCTTCAAGCTATACTGAAGTCATAATATAATCCCTTCACACTTTACACAAGTTCTCAAAATAGAAAACTTTAGCTACATGGCCATCAACATTATTTCATAACACAATACTTTTAAAAGCTCAAATCATTCCTTAACCCATGACTCATTGGCAACCTCCAACCACCATTATCAGCATAATGGTCCAAAAAGACTCGACAATTCGGAATGAATCCGGCCGCACGATTCAGAATGAGTCCGGCCTCACGATTCAGAATGAGCCAGATGGAACGTTCCAACAAATAATTCAAAAGACTCAACGATTCGAAATGAGTCAAGCTCGACGATTCGGAATGAGTAATTAGGAACGTTCCAAGACGAACAGAACAAACAACAAAAATGTAGTTTGCATCATGAGTTTCGTCAAACCTTCAAAAGAATTCTTATAATCAAATTGCCCATTGTAGCAAAACTCAATTCCTTAAAGATTACATTGTAACACCCCGTATATTTAAATAGCCCTATTTTAATAAAATATTCTCAAAAACAAAATTTATTTTCCAATCTTAAATATTTTAGCGCGAATACTTTCAAAACAATTATTTTTGTCTCGAAATTTAAATAAACTATTTTTAAACTCTCGATTTTGCTATCCAAAATCTATCTGGGATGAACATTCCAAAATCATTTTTTTACAACTATCAAACTTCCTAAGATCAAAGGCTTTTTGTTACTAAGCCCAAATGTTTGGGCCCAAAAATATTCGTAATCCAATTTCTTAGTCCAAACTTAAGCTCAAATTATACATTTTAGACATATATATATATATATATATATATATATATATATATATATATATATATATATATATATATATATATATATATATATATATATATATATGTGTGTGTGTGTGTGTGTGTGTGTGTATGTGTGTGTGTGTGTGTGTGTGTGTGTGTGTATAAATGATTATTTTTTTTAGAAATCCAGTGGTTGGAGTTGTGGCGGTAGTCCAGTGGTTCCCCTGTTCTTCGCGCGAACAGCAGTATCGTGACTTTTCTTCGGCGAATCTCTCCTTCCGGCGAGACAAGTAGGCCGACGAACTCCTCCAGTGTTTGGTCCATCTCCTGACGGTAAATGGCAGTCTGGCGGTAGTTGAGCTGGCTTTTTCTTCCTCCGGCAGTGTTGACCTTCCAGCGTAGTTTGGACGGCCGAACGGAGCTTCCGGCAGCTTAGCGGTCACTTCGAAAGGGTTCTTTGTTAAAGTGGCCAGTTTATGAGTTGAGCCTAGGTTGAGCGTTTGCTTTTGGAGCTTTAGCTTTGAGGTAAGTTTCTATGTCTGTTTAAATTAGTTTGCACTACTAAATGTTCTACTTATATGATTTGTGTACTTAAATTATTTTGAGAATGTGTTCTTGTCTCACAATGTGATAAATGGTAAAATTAGGTTATTTTGGTGTTGACTTGTGATTCATATGGGTTGAAACTATATTTTTGAAAGGTGTATAATCTATAGTGTGCCTAAATATTTTGTGTTGAAACTCCATTATAATAGGGATTGATTTGAGCATTGGAAAACTTATAATTTTGTGATATATACATATATTTATATTGCTATAGAGTTCGATGAAACTCATACTTTGAGAAATATTGATTGAAAAGCTAATTATATTAAAATGAGTGAAGCTATGTTTATATTGGAGGATATGAAGTTATATTTATTCTTGAAGGACTATCTTTTTGGAGGAAATGTGTAAATTAGATAAAATGTATTGTTTTGCATACTATTATACTCTTTTCGGAGGATGAAAACTAATATGGAAAGTATGGATATTGATGGGTTATATATACTCATGCTATTTGAAAGCTGAGATTTAAATAGTCTACGGGCAAATGAGAATGTTTACGAAAATCTATTTTTGGATAACTATTCTTATTTTCAGAAATATTTTCCTTTCAATCTTTAGTTTCTGTACTTAAAATTTGGGGGTGTTACAGTTGGTATCAGAGCCCTAGGCTAGAGTTCTAGATCGTTAAGAGTTGGACTTTAAGAGCCTAAGTTGACCCTAAGATGTAGGAGCATGACTATATGATCTCAAGTTTCGAATTCTTGGAAATGGAAGCCTAAGTTTGAAACTTTAAGTATGTGGACTTCTTAAGAATTCGATGTGAGATGTGAGTTCCTTAAGATTGTTTGACTGTGTTGATTTGGTTATTTGAAAGTTGATTGTGATTAATTTAGAGTTATATTTTGAACTGTGGCTATTGCACCCGAATGGTGTGCATCTTCCTAGTAAGGTTCTTCGTTTTGGATCTACTAAGGACTTGTAAACTAATTTGGAAAGTATGGATATTGATGGGTTATATATACTCATGATATTTGAAAGCTATGATTTAAATAGTCTACGGGCAAATGAGAATGTTTACGAAAATCTATTTTTGGATAACTATTCTTATTTTTGGAGGATATATAAAATGTATCTATTTTTGGAGGATATGTAGATATAATGGATGGTTGTTGAATGGTGGACTTTAATTTGGTCCTATGTGGGTTCTGGCCCTATTTTTGATGAGATTGTATTTGGTAGAAAACATCCTGGATACCTATTATATGTGGAGTAGCCTAGTAGAAAACATCCTGGGCTACTTGGACTAGTTACTACTCTTTTGGGTGGGGGAAGCCCATTAGAGGGTGTGCACACTTAAGGTTTTAGTCCTTTATCCCACGAAAGGGACAAACTTGTGGAGTGGCCGGTAGGGTGGATTGCCGTGTCACTAGGGCTTAGTTGATCTAAGACCCTTCGTCCCTCTCACCTTATATATATGAGAGTATGGATATGTGAAATATCGTGAGTGATGGTTATGATATTCCTCCATATGTATATGTGATAATTGGAAAAATGATTTGAGAAATATGATTTGAATTTCTCCCTACTTATGATTATTAATATATATATATATATATATATATATATATATATATATATATATATATATATGTTTATGAGAGGCTTATGAGAAAGTCTATAGTAAAAATAATTATTTGAGATTATCTATGTCTTGAGATGGGCACTTGATGAGTAAACTATATGTTGCTATGAGTTCCTCCATATCTATTATGTATATCTTGGAAATGCTTATGAGAGATGATGTGTTAGGAATATATTGTAAATTTTGATGAGCCGAATGTATTTTTGAAAAATCAAGTAGTCCCCATTTTTATTCTATTTGAGTCAGTTTGAGTCTACGGAGTATGATGCACCCATATCATGCAACCCATGTACAAGTCTGGAAAATCACATGTTGATTTTAGATGTTAAGCGGGATTATAGCTTAACACAATTATGATGCGGATAAGTCACCAAGAACCATGTTAGAGGAGTTGGAAGAAACGCGTGTGAGCTATGTCAAATGATCTTAAGTTCAAATCTCAAGTGATGCATTTTTAAGCTTGGGAGACTAGCTTGGACCGTATGGGAGACTAGCTTGGACCATATGGGAGACTAGCTTGGACAGTATGGGAGACTAGCTCAAGGTCAAGTATATTGGATCGTATACCGTATGGGAGACTAGCTCAAAGTATACCAAACCGTAGCTCAAGGTCAAGTATATTGGATCGTATACCGTATGGGAGACTAGCTCAAAGTATACCAAACCGTATGAGAGACTAGCCTGAGTGTATTGGAGACTAGCTAAAATGCTCAAAGTATACCAAACCGTTTGAGAGACTAGCTAAAATTGAGACTAACTAACAAGGAGACTAGCTAAAATTGAGACTAACTAACAAGGAGACTAGCTAAAATTGAGACTAACTAACAAGGAGACTAGCTAAATGGAGACTAACTAACAAGGAGACTAGCTAAGAATATGGAGACTAAGTAAAATGCTCAAGTCTCACAAAAGCCATGCACCATATGGAAAAATACACCAAGTATGGTGAACCAAGCTAGAAATTCGAAACAGAGCATCTCACCATGAACAACTGTGAAGTTTTTACAGAGGTTCCAGTATATTATTTTACAAGGATCATGAAGGACAAAATAACTGATATATTTTCATCTGAACATCAAGTTTTTACGGTGGAACCGGAGACGCTAAAAGAAGGTTGATTCGCGTAGAAATTATTTTATACTCAAGCAAGAATCAGCAAATAAATTATTTGATCAACTTGACATGTCAGAGTATCTATGAAGGACCACAAATGTCAAAGATTGCCGCGCCGAATTTATTCCAAATCTGGAGGCTGCAAAATTTCAAGAAACGGCAACGGGCAAATTATTCAAATCATCTGACAAAAGGAGAAAAGACATCTACCTAATATTTTAGATCAAGTTAATAATATCTTTTGATCAACTACAATTCAAATGGACGATCGAGATCGAAAGTTGATCAACGGGAAAATAGCTTTTACTAGCTATAAATTGTCCAAGCAGACTTGAAGACAAGTAGAAGAGAGCAGTTAAGCAAGAAAAACCCCAAGAGATTGAGCAGTTCAACAACTTGAACAACGGCTAAAACATACAAGCAAAAGATACAAGCTATATTTTTTTTTTTTTTGCCGAAAAAGGGAGAAACAGAGCTTCATAGAATTAAATTCAAGTCTGAGTGAGAGAGAAATTTTATTTCTTTGTAATATTCTCTACTGAGCGTAGAAAGAGGGCGGAGTAACTAGAGAGAGTGAAAAACCCTGGTTGAGTGTAGCTTTGTGCGTAGCACTCGTGGTGAAGGGCAGAGTAACAAGAGGAGCTTGTGAAAACCCTTGGAGGACGTAGCTTTGTGCGCAGTTCTCGTGGTGTAGGAGTACAGCTTGGTCCGAAGTACTCGGGAAGGCGGAGTAACAAGAGGAGCTTGCGAAAAACCTTGGAGGAGTGTAGCTTTGTGCGAAGCACTCGGAGAAGTGTCCGTGGACACTTATTCACTATTGTATCTGGATGATCGAAGAATAGTGAATTTCCTCCTTGAAGTGAAAGGAGAAGAGTGGACTAGGAGGATTACACCACCTCTGAACCACTATAAATCTCTCTCTCTATTTACTTACTGCTCATTTATTTTGTGCATGCTTATTCTAACTGCGAACTAACCCGATTACGACTTATCGCATATCTTTATCTGTCTGGGTTTGATAGTTCCCACGTTTGCATGCAAGCCAAACTTTACGTATATCATCCTTGAACCATATCAAATGTTTCTAACGTGTTGCATGTTTAGAATATCTCTTTGAGCACCGCACTTATAAGCATAACACTTTACCGCTACCTATTCCGCTGCACGCTCTAAGTTGTTTATCTTGTTGATGCTTGTTACTTAGAGTTGAAATTATCAAAGTGTTATTTGCCTTGTAAGTTTTCGAAGAAAGTTTGAAAAGTTAGAGAAGTCTATTCACCCCCCCCCCCCTCTAGACTTCTCGCCACCCTTTCGGGACCAACAAGTGGTATCAGAGCGGTTGTCTATTTGAGTCAATTTTGACTGCTAGATAGATCTCAAAATCTTCAAGATGAAGAGAGATATGGCTCTTGCTCAAAATTTGCTTTTCTCACTTGATAAATTTGATGATTGGAAAATACGTATGCAGGTGCACTTATCTGCTTTAAATGACGAAATGTGGGAAGTCATCGCAAATGGTCCTCTCCAAATTATGGAAGTTAACACTGCCGTCGCACTAACTCCAAATGTTCCACGATATATTCCAAAGCCAAAAATGGAGTGGACAAAGGAAGATAGAGGGCGAAATAATTTGGACAACATTGCCAAAGATATTTTGTTCAAAGCGGTCGATGACACCATATTTCCAAAGATTCGAAAGTGCACTACAGCAAAAGAAATATGGGATACACTTATCGAAATCGGTGAAGGCGATGAACAAGAAAAAGACAACAAACTAACCATTGCCATGAAGAGGTTCGAAGATTTCAAAATGCTACCGAACGAAAGCATCACCGACATGGAAGCTCGATTAATCAAAATTCTTGGAGAGATCACGGATTTGGGAAAGACCATTACCCAGAAAGAAATATCGCTCAAAGTGTTACGCGGAATGCCTACAAATTGGGATATGAAGGTGACCGCAATGCGCGATCATAGAGATCTAAGGACATTATCTACGGATAAACTCTTTAGTGATCTTAAGGCGTATGAGTTCGAAATGAAGACACGAGTCGAGGAAGAACGTGATGAACGAACATCCGCATTGATGGCCGAACAACCCTCAACATCAAGGTCAGTAGGAAATAATGATTTTTTATCTGACGATCAATTTTCTCTATTTGTTAGGAAATTCAAGAAGTTCATGCGAAAGAACAAAGGATCACCACAAGGAAATTTCTTT